GCATAAAATATTTAATAAAGCTTTATATAAAATATGTATAAAATATATAAAATATATATAAAATATACATATAACATTAAATAAAATACGTAGTAATAGATTTTATTATAAATATTCTGGGATATTACTGGAATAATTTGTGCTGTAGTGGGATCTATCTTAAGAATCCAAATCTTTACGAATTTTTTAGACGTATTTTAAAAGACTTCTTTGTGGACAGGTAGACCGAAAAATTATAAAAGGTGCATTTGCTAAAAAAATATAAAAAAAAAAGATTTTATAATTATACGATTTCTTTTTTGTCTTTAAAAGGTTGTGTTATAATGAAATTCACTGCCAATGTTGAAAATCTAGTGTCACGTAACATAAACTATAAATTTTTAGGCTGGCAGTGAATTTGGAACACAGCCAAATAAGTAACCGAAAAAATACATTATCAAGCTTTAGCAATTTCAAGAATATTCTATACATCATTCAAATATACAGAGTGTTCTTGTTCTTTTTTTACATTTCTAAATCTTACAAGGATAGAATTAGCATATTTGACTTATGCTAGTGTTGTTACTCGTTTCTAAGGAAACGAGTCACCTATTTTAAGGTGTCGGCAACCACACGTATCTTGGCACGTAGGCAAGGATCATCTGTTCGCGTTTCCTAGCTGAGGATTCCTCGATTTTTGCTGTGCAAAGTAAAAATATATGAAAGAGGAATTGAGAGTTTTTAAAAGTAGATCATTGTAAATTCTTATTGTACAATATTGTAATATAATTATCAGATAAAATATTGTTAAAATTGAGTGAAGATGAGCGATGTACCGCAAATCGTCGCTGAGAACGCAATGTCTACGAGCGCGATGGAGCATCACGTTATGGACATCCTAAACCCTAGCTTGCACCACCATGACCTGCTACAAAGCTATGTGCGTGTGGAAGTCTGCTCCGATTCGAAGGATCCTCAAGAGTTCGAAGAACCATGTAAAGAAGTTCATTCGAGTAAACATCTAACAGCATTGAGTGGTGACAAGGCTCGTTATGCTCATGATAAAGGGAAGAAAGGTAAAGACAGGAAGGAAAAGCAAAGTCCTGACACTGCTATCGAGTCGGAGATGAGAATACAGAAGTCGAAGAGAAAGTGACGCCAGCGTGACGGCGAAGGTCGTCGGCAGGAAGAGGTGTACACCGATAAGGATCGCGCAGCTGCTGTAAACATGGGTACCACGGATATAAAGCAGTCTCTGAAGATAAAGCAACGCCAGGATCGCAGCAAGAGTTTGCAAATCCCGGAAGAGACCGAACCCGGAGCGTTGCTGACGCTTGGTCTACGCGAGATGCGCTTTGGCGACATTAATGTCGCTGTTAATTGCATTAATAAGGTTTCTACCCGCTTGCCTCATTATATGATGTGATTTCTTGTTAATTCTTGGCGGGTATAATCGATGAAAGTAATTTATGTCTTCCGTGCATGGTCGTGCATGCGCGCATGAATAAACGTGACCCTCCGTAATAAGCGAATAAATCAATCGTAATGATTTATATTATATAAGATTGAAACAGATGTAATAAATTGCGGGGATTGTTATCGTTACCGATTTTGAAAGAAATATTATCTAAGTTTTTTAAAAGATTGCATAATCTATATTCTATATAATATACATAATTGATTTGTTAATTTAAAAAATTGACATCTATATACTTTGATATGATGGTGAAAATTCTTCTCAGAATTTTTACATGAATTGAAACACGTTTCAACACTAAGAAAGTTTACATCTTTTCTTAGAATTTTTCATGTAAATGAATTCTGAAAAATTCTAAGATTTTTTATTTTAGAATTTCTCAAAAAATATTTTTCCTTATTTTATAAGATTTTATCAGAAATCGTGGAATGAAAAAAATTCTTAATATTTCAGAATACATGTACATATATAAAGAACTCTCGAGAAGGACTTTTTCAGTAGGTACACCTCTAAAAAGTGTTCCAATTTGTATAAAAAAAATTTAAGAATTTTTTTTAAATCATAAAATTATTTATTATTTTAATTTTAAAAAATTCTGAACTTTATTTAAAAATTATGAAAAATTCTACGAAAAATTTTTTCTGAGACTAATATAAAAAAAAGTTCAGTTCTTTATAACATAAAGAAATTTCAGATTAATAAAATATCCACAAATCTCATAAAGTTTAATGTCCATCAATTTGTCCATAATATTAGGTGTGGGAAAAAGTTCGTGGCATTTCCTATTAGATGACATTAAAAAAACGCTACGAACTTTTTCCCACTCCTAATATTTCTACTGTATTTATTATAGTTGCATTGTAATATATGGCAAAAAGATTATTGCAATATAATCTTCGGTGATGAATGGCAACTATATAAGTAAAATAATATCACAAATATTTTCATATAATTTGTACTTAATACTAGAAGATATTTCTATGACGTATTAAAGTAGATTTTTATATTTTTATTTAAATTATATAAACATTTGTTACATTTTAAAGAGATTAAAAATAATATATGAAAAAAAAATTAGAATTATTGATGTACATTTAAAAATATATATGAAAAAGAATTTACAATGTTTATAATTACTATAAATATAATAACTATATATCTTTGTGTTTTAACAATATTATTAAAATTTTAATTATTTCAATAAAGACATTACATAAGAATTTATTCTGGCAGGCACTGGAATTAAATCCAAACGACAAGAACGCCTTGATAGCGCGGAGCAAATGTTATCTTTTACTGGGTGATCCGCAAAAGGCTTTGAACGACGCTGAAGCAGCTTTAAGATTGAATCCTAAAGATTCTAGCAAGTCCAAGGCGGTATACTGTAAGGCGGAAGCTCTCTATCATCTCGGTGATTTCGAAATGAGTTTGGTGTATTATTACCGTGGAATGAGGATTCGTCCGGAATTCGGCGAATTTCGCCTTGGTGTCCAAAAAGCGAAAAATGCGATACAGAATGTGTTACGTAAGAATTAACAGTTATATTTCTAACATATTGATCCTTAATTATTCTAATAATACATGTATATGCGATAATATATTACAATATGTAAAAAGAAATGTATGCGTTATAAAATGAATTTTATAAAAGTCGATAATTTTACATGTGATTTATTTGTTGAAACATTGTTAAAACTTTCAATGAAAAAGTAGATATTTAAGCAACTATAAATTATAGCCGCAGCACAAACTTTTTTTTTACATAACGCATAATGCATAAACGAATTAAACTAATCAGAATTTTTTCTTTTCTCCCATTTTATAGAAAAAAAGAATTTCGATTGGTTGATTCTTTTATGCATTATGCATTATGCGTTATGCAAAAGTCTGTGCTGCGTTCATTATTCATGAAATTCTATTAGCGTTTTCGACCCGGGTTTGCACCAACTTGAGTTAGAAAATGCTTCGCTATTGGTTGATGTTACTCGCTCTACCAATGGGAGAGCATCATTGCTTCAACTCAGATTAGTATAAACTCGGTCAGGCCGAAAACGCTATATATTTAAAAATAATGGATTGCCAGGTGAATTAGAATTTTGTCACCGTATTGGTTGCGATGCTATCAGTGCCAGCATCACAGCCAATACGGTGGCAAGAAAATTAGCATCAAAACGCTGATTTAGAGAATCAGCCTCTTCATTTTTGCTCCATCAATTGACGCCGTTCTCTAGCTGAATGTTATTAGCGCAATTTATATCAATCTATTCTTGTTTTACATCTAATAAACATGAAGATAGAATGACAGAAGTAGCGCTAATAACGTCTCCTTAAAAGCACCAATAGTGCACGTAAAAAATCTCGACTGTAAAAAGATTATTTTCTTAACCCAGTACATACATATATTAATTTCTTTAATAAGAGTGAATCTAATTTTTTTATTTATTGCATTAGATCGTATAGATAATCATTAGTTTACCGCGCATAGATAAATAATACTATGATATAATTGTACGTGAATTTACCGACATTTTGGGAACATTTTCTGAAGTTGATACAGATGTCGTATCAAGATTTGTGTTCTTCTGATGTGTGTGTGTGTGTGTGTGTGTGTGTGGTGTGTGTGTGTGTGTGTATATTTCTTATTACAGAAAATGTCAAGACTCTTGTGTCACATTGATTGTTGATGCGTTCGGGAGCGTTTCTCTAAAGATGTGTGATGTACTTTGAACCTGCTGAGTGGAACTATAATTCAAAACGCAATAAAAATAATTGTGATTTACATCTCTAGTAGCCAGGTTCTTTTGTAAGTGACATCGACCGATCAGTGATACCGTTTTCGATCACTTGGCCACGTATTAACGAAAACATTAACATTTTATAGTTAGAATATTGCAAAAAGGCAGGAAAATGATTAATACAGGGTAAGTGTTTTGTAATTTCAAGTTCTTATATGATTCAGCAGGTTTTCATCCTTAATAGTATTACCAGACAGTAGTATAAATTTATGTATGTACATTTCATTATTTGATTGCCACGTGAACTCATTTTTTTACATAAATACATGATAATGTATAAAATATGTTTAAATTTGTCATTGTATTGTTCATAAGTTGTACAGATTAGAATGTTCATTGCGTTGTTCATTTTTTACTTAAGTTTAGAAATTTTTTACTTAATTCTAGAATTGTTAATTTATTTGCATATTTGAAAACAAAAATTTATTCAAAAACAAAATTTATGTTTGTAAATGATATAATGTAAATGTATCAATTAGTAGATATAACTCAATTTACTGAACAAAGTGATATAAAATTTTAAATATTATAATTAATATAAATATTAAATATTATAAGTTTTTAATGATATATATGACTCTGATTAAATTTATTGTTTATAAAAATTTAATAATAAATATATTTGGAATTGTACATATCATTAAAAGCATAATATTTGAAATGTTTTATTCTTTTATCCAACAATTGATTCGTGTCCACTAATTGATACATTTATCTTATATTTATGACATTAAATTACTATTTACATTTTAAAACTTAGATATAATGAATTATTACAATATTTATTATTTATAAAACAATAAAAATGAATATAAATATAAATATAATATTTATAATTCTCATAATTTATAATTTATTAAATGATATATAGTATTTAATAATACATTTAAATAAACAATAACATTATTATAAATGTTGTGTCAAATGTTGAACAAGATTATATTACCAATATTTGACAGGAAGTTGGCCGGTCGCACTATTTTTATAACTGGAGCTTCAAGAGGTATTGGGAAGAGTATAGCTTTGAAAGCAGCGAAAGATGGTGCAAATGTTGTTATTGCTGCAAAAACTGCTGAACCACATCCAAAGTTACCGGGTACTATTTATACGGCAGCTTCTGAAAGTAATTATCGCTTAATTTTTCAGATTTGGGTTTATGGTACAATCTGACAGCGATACATTTATAGGTATTGGTTTATAGATAAAAAAAATACTTACTGATTTTTATGAATAAAAAGTTTAATATTTTTTTTATATTTGTTAAAATTATTTTTATATTTGTTAAATATCAATATTAAAACTAATGAAATTATTA